AACAAAAATAGTAATTGCTACACAAATGTTATCTCAAAATGGCATTAAAATTAATTAACATAATGAATTTTAACATCAGTGAAAAATTAAGAGTAGGTAATAAATATAAAGTAATTATTTCTCAGTAAAGTTAATTTCCCTTGTGCTTCCCATGCCTTTCCTAGAGCTCCGCCCTTGCACCCTTTTTATAGCAATTTCAGTATATCTTTACTGGTAGAAGAGGTCTGCTGTTGGTGTAATCTTTGGGACATCTATCATGGTAGAATATCTGGTATTCTGTGGACCTTACAGAACCCTTAAAGCATTATCACCTCTCTGATAATGGACCTTCAATTACCTTTTAAATAATAAACTAGTGAATTAAAGATCATGCATAACTCAAATTTGAAAATGAATTCCCCCTATTTTGTCGAAGGCTTTCATGGCTGGAATCTCACAACCTCTGAGGATGCTTGCCATAGATGCAGGTGAAATGTCAGGAGAGAATGCTTCTAGAACATGGCCATATAGCCCGAAAAACCTACAACAACCCAATTCCCCCTATTTTTCTTACTGTTCATGAAAGATACCTGGCAAATCTCTCTTGTTAACATATGCAGTGCAGAATGGTGAAATACCAGGGATGCCTTTTAAAACACAGTTTGAAGATCCTGAGTAACAACGACATATTATAACTGCTAAAATATGATGCCCCTTTGAAATTATGAAACACTTGTTAAACATTGGATTTGAGATTCTTGAATCATCTTTATAATTTCTTGGACTAGAGTAAATTTTAAATGCTGTTTAATAAAGCTGTCTATAGGTATATATGCAATAAATGTGGTTGGATGAGCCTATTTAAATTCATGAAAAGTGAAAAATATTCATCAGATGAAAATGATGGTTGTAATCGGTCCCTTTGCATGCTGAAACAACTTGCTTCCAAGAATTATATTGTATCTCGTCTTAGTGATAGAATTTTTAAAAATTGTTAAGATCATGAAGCTTTATCACATTATGTTGTGGCTAAGTCACATATGTATTAGTCAGTTTTAAAAAATGGATCATTTGTACTTCAAATATCCCTCTCTCTGTGTGTGTCTCTCTCTGTGTGTCTATATATGTGATAATGAACAGGGATCCACGGATAATCAATAATAATTATATATGTTGCAAGCTTTATATATTTATTGCCTTTAAAAATATGGATGTATGAAAAATGTACATTAAACATGATTAAGCCCCATAGTGTTGTATTGCTTCTTCTCCTAGTTTAGTCACTTCAGCATATTGGTTTATATACTTCTTTGAGATATGACATTTAAGCCAACCTGTTAAGAGTTAGCTGCATGGCAGAAATAAGGATGAAAAGAGCTGAGGTTTATTCTTTTGCTCTTACTTCTCTTCTAACCTGATGTGTGATATTTTCAGTCACTAACTTCTAATTAATCTGATTTGCATTAATTGGTATATTTTCCATGTTTCAGTTGTGGTGATTCACAATCAAATCATGTTTCTCCTTCTTATCTATGACTTTCTGCAAAGTGAACGGCTGAACTATAGAATATAGACAGCTCTAGTTATCCCTCACTAGAAATGTCAGTCACAATCCAGAGTACTAATTTACAGATACTCATGGTTTTGTACAAACATGACTTATTTATTTTACACAGCAAAACTGTGCCACATTACATCTTGATTGTGATACTCTTTTGTGTTTCAACAGCATTTTGGCATGTGACATGGGAGAACTTTGGTTAAAAAACCAAACCACATTTGTAAACTATATTGCAGTTATCTGAGGTTTCTGCTCCCAGTCAGATCAATAAGTCACAGATAATAGTGAAATCCTATGCACAGCTACTTGGGAGCCTTGCTTTCTACTACGCAGAGGTAGACTTAGGTTGGGTGTCCCATGACACCCAACCCATGGACAATGTTACTTCAATTGGGACATAGAGTGCAATTCTAAACAGAAAATTCTGTGAAGTTTGATGAAGTATATGCACTCGGCAGTAAATGCTCAGTTATTGTCAACATTATTAGGTTTAGTCTCCATACTATTATTAATAATAAGGATTTATTAATAAGAAAATCTTAAATACACTTGATTAGATTTATAGTTAGTCAAGCTTTAAATAGACCTATTACAGTCAATGTAATTTGTTATTTGAATTAAAGAAGACCAGTAATATTTATTTATTTGTATCAAGGTGGGGGGAAAAAGCGCAAAAGCTGGGTTGCAGTTAAACATAAAAAAAACAAGATTATGGCAACAAGAATGATTGGCAACTGGGAAATAGAGGGAGAAAATGTGGAGGCACTGACAGACTTTGTTTTTCTAGGTGCAAAGAATACTGCAGACGCAGACTGCCGCCAGGAAATTAGGAGACATTTACTTCCTGGGAGGAGAGCAATGTCCAATCTCGATAAAATTGTGAAGAGTAGAGTTAAAGCAATGGTATTCCCCATAGTCACCTACGGATGTGAGAGCTGGACCATAAGGAAGGCTGAGCGAAGGAAGGCAGATGCTTTTGAACTGTGGTGCTGGAGGAAAGTTCTGAGAGTGCCTTGGACTGCAAGAAGATCCAATTAGTCCATACTTCAGGAAATAAAGCCCGGCTGCTCATTGGAGGGAAGGATAATAGAGGCAAAGATGAAGTACTTTGGTCACATAATGAGAAGACAGGAAAGCTTAGAGAGGACAATTATGCTGAGGAAAATGGAAGGAAAAAGGAAGAGGGGCCGACCAAGGGCAAGATGGATGGATGGGATCCTTGAAGGGACTGGATTGACCTTGAAGGAGTTGGGGGTAGTGATGGCTGACAGGGAGTCTGGCATGGGCTGGTCCATGAGGTCACGAAGAGTCGGAAACAATTGAATAAATGAACAACAACAACAACTTGTATGGATGTATGGATGACAGCTATTGTTCACTTCTGAACTACAAATAGATTAAACAGACTTTAAAATGTTATTATCCAAGTCATAGTGTTCTAATAAGCCTTATTATCATTTATGTGAGACACATGGACCTGGAAGCAACGTCTGTGTAATTAAGTGGGGCTTACTTCTGTGTCAACTTATTCTACTTTCATTATTTTCTATTAATTCTTAGGAGGGTAGGAACCTAATTACCTATGTGATATCTATTCTCTAAACCTCAACCAGATATATCTGCACATGATAGAATACCTTAAATGGCTGATTCAGATAAATCATGTCAATAGAGGGAAATTGTATGAGTTGAATAGTAAAAATAATAGTAATAATTATCATTCATCTTGCTTCACATGCATTTCTCTGTCATTGTTCTTCTGTCCCCAGTTTTGTAACTGATAAGTAAGTCATATTTTATAAATCTGTGTATTACGCAGTTTTATAAGTATGTGCTGCTCTTGGTATCTTCAGTAGAAGAGCAAGAGATAATAAATAAAATGTACATCCTTTGGTTAAGTTTTCTTTTTCTGCAATGTTCAAAGACCAATTTGTTGGCCTTCTCTGAACTTCCTTCTGTTCATTTTAAAGATATATCTATAATGCACTTCAATTACATTTTGTTTACTAATAAATGGTCCCAGTTGACTAAGGAGATCAAGTAACTCACAGCTTTAAAATCTATTTTATTATAAGTATCTTCTTGTTTTCCATGTCTCTTATTGTCAGAACAATATTTTTTAAAAGAGCTATCTTCTTGAAAATTTCATACTTCTCTATAACAGAGCAAATATAGGTCTTAAATTATCAAATACTTCTAGGAATACATCTGCATTGATTCTAATTATCCACTGATAATGTTTGCAATAAAAAAAATAAACTTTAATTTCTATACTACTTTTTCTGGATAAATGTTATTAAGAGACATTTATTCCTTTGCACAATAGTGGCTTACAGAATGTGTATATTTATAAGTAGCTTTTACTGTCTTTTAGATCTGTCGCAAGTTGTTATTCTTGTTTTGATTTATGTGGCAAGATGAGTGAAACCATATGATGTTGCTAGGTAACCATGATATTTTAGAAATTTTAAATGCAAAATAAGTCTTGAGAATCAAATTTCCGTTATCTTCCTTATTCTTTCCTCTTATTTTACCATTCTTCTCTTTTTTTCCTTCCTTTTTTCTAATGAATAATGGATGATACCATCATAAGATACTATGCATTTAACTGCCACAAGCATCATAAAATCATAACTATTAATTATTTGTCTTAGAGCATATCTGTTGGCTTTTACTCATTTACAAAACTTCCTAGAGATCTCTGCCCATTATCTTCTGTGCCCTGTCAATATAAATGGTCTTCTTTGGCCTCTGTGGCACAGTTTGGAGTGGAAGTACTGTTTGCTGAACAGAGGGGAAAGCACATTAATTTCTATAAATTTTCTTTGAGCCAGGCTTTAGGTCTTGCTGACATTTGTTTGATCTCTTGGTGTTAACTTGGACACAAAAGGTTAGAGAACCTATGAGATTAAAACAAGTGTTGACTTAATATTTTGCAGTGCATTAATCAAGTCTTCTCTGTTTCAACTGCTAAATTTGGTGGGTCTTCTATGGTTGGAACTAGAATTTGAATTTTGTCATTTTAGCCATTGTTCTTCATCAGTGAATACGAACCAATGCCAAAATAATGATCATTTTTTTGTTTTAACAAGATAATTAAGCAATAAAATAAATTTTACATTTGGTGGCTAACACTTTTCATTGTAACACTGTATTAAATAAAGTAGTACTTGCCCTTGTTGTACATTAAGTAATATAACCACAAATAAAATATTTAAAAATATTTTAAAATAATCTATGCTTCCTATAAATATTTTTTTCTCCATCAAATAAAAGCCAGGTACAAACACAGTATATTATAGGGAACATGTCTATCAGTGCCATTGTATGAAAAGCATAGTATTCTGGTCTCTATGGCACTTGAATTTAATCACTAATTTAATTTTAAAAAATCTTTACATGAGTAAATTTTGCATGAAGGGTTTTAAAATTATTATTATTATTATTAATGTTGTCTTAGGTGAAAGGTCCCCCAGCTGCCGGAGCATTTAAAGAAAGACCAACAAAGCCCACAGCCTTTCGCAAGTTTTATGAACGAGGTGACTTCCCAATTGCCCTTGAGCATGATACAAAAGGAAACAAAATAGCCTGGAAGGTAAGTCAGGGTGCAGCTGTGACAGCCAGCTGTGCTTATTGAAGTGACATCCCTCATTGCCAAAACACGTTGGCTTATAAGTAAATAAAGTGGAGTAATTTCTTAGCAAATAGAAGATGGTGGGGGAGCAGTTAGAGAGTGGCCTCCTGAGTCAGCCATCTACCTTGGCTAACAATTAAATTATATACTGCAAAAAGGAAGATGACAGAGTTGCTTTGCCTTAGAGAATTGTCTCCGGCTCAATTCATCTCTATTTTTATGAGGACCTGGCAACCCAGCCTATTTCAGGCAGTCCATCAAATGATGGAAGTGGCTGGATACAGTGAGCAGCAGCCATTTATCTCCCCCCAAATTTCACCTTCCTGCAGGACAGTTCCAAATGGAAGCTTTAATTACCTAAATGGATAGGTCAAGATTGTCTGCTCCCTTGAAATGCAGAGCAGAATACAAACGAAGGCAGATTCTCATTCAACGGCTGCACTCCCAGTCTGCAGCATATGTCAGACAGCGTAATCGCTGTCATACGTGCCCCTGTTAGAGGCTGACCTCCACTGCTGAAACCATTATGGTTCCGACATCTCTGACAAAAGGTTAATTGGCTTCAAAATAAATGTATTGCCTAATGACTTCATTCTAATGCAGCAGTGTTTCTCTCTAAAAGGCTCAGTGATGTTATTTGTAAAACTTGCCAATCTTTTAAGTAACTAGAGCAGGCTTTTAAATTTAATTTGAAAAATGAATGCTGATCTTTAACCTGCTCTTTCTATTTAATTATTTTTTGTTATGAAATGACTTTTCTTTTGTTTATGTGCTAATTATTTGACCATATCTGTAAACAAAGTGGGTGGGGGGGGGGGTATTCCTAAGAATTAACCATTATGGGTAGGAGACATTGGGGGCCACATGCTTCCTTATTTGGACATTTTAGTAGATAATGCTGGAAATATTTATAATTAGATCTACCAGAGTTTTATTAAAATGTGAATAGATAAGACTATTGGTGTGCCTATGGAATGCACTACCCAGTGAAATCAGGGTGACCCCTCTCTCCTCTCCTTTAGAAAAAAGCTTAAATCTTTGCTTTGGGACCAAACATTCGAGCAGCTGACTGAGCAGCAACTGCAGTGACTTATAAGAACTGTCAATGAATAGACCTTGGACTAGACCTCTGGATTACGATTTGGATTTGAGGACTTAGGCTCGGTTGTGTTTGAGTACTGAATGGTCAATATTTTAATGTATTTTTATAATCTTGTTTGGTTTACTTAATGTTAATTGTTTGTACTGTGATTGTTTGTTTGTTGGCATCTAATGATTGCCAGTTGTAAGCCGCCCTCAGTCCCCCCCCCCCCCTCGGGGGTTGAGAAGGACGAGATATAAATGTTCAAAATAAATAAAAAATAAATAAGATAAAGATGATGTTGATATTTTGGTAATCATGAAATTATTAATTATCTTGGCACATAACAAACATATCAAACATTTACAGTCTACCTACATGTTTGCAGTCAAAACTAACAAATGCTTCTTGTAGGCTTGATCAGTAGTCCAGTTGACATTTCTGTCTGATGTCAATAAGAACAGTAAAAGATTTGCTTTGGTGGTGATGAAGCTCTGTATTTTTTTTTATCAAAAATGCATGTAATAGATTTCTGCAAGAATATCTGTAAAATTATTTTCATATTATTATTATAAAGGTTTAGATATGGACCTATTGAAATTTTTATAATTATATGAAACTATTGAAACCTGGAGGCAGGATGGCATCTGCATGGTCCAGCAGTACTGGAACTGCAACTGTACTACCATCCTTATCTTGTCCCCATTGTTTTGGGATTTGTGGTGCCCACTGGGCATAAAAATTGTGCTGGTCATTGCTTGACACCTGTAATAATGATAGCCAAAATAATGAAGTAATGTGAAAGTGGGATCAGGAGGAAAACATCCTTCACCCCTTCCTTCTCCAACTGCTTCATTGTTCTGGCTAATGTCACTCCAGGCACTGATCAAACCACCATGTTTGCACCCAGTGGACACTGCAAAGCCCAGAAGAAATTGAATAAGATATGTGTCATCCCCTAGGCAAAGCAGGATAGTGGTGTAAGCAGCTGCAGTCACTTCCCAAAGCCCAAAACTAGCTCCTTAATTTCTGGAGTATCCTGTGACTTTTTCTATGCTGCTTTAAGTGGTTTTCTCCCATGTTAAGGCGAATGGACACTCTGCATCATGTGGACACCGTCGAATCCATTTGCCCATCAACTGGGTGATTTGGCCCAGGGAAATGGCCCTGTGTGACTGTTTGATGTGTTCAAAATCTTAAAAAGCAAGATTTTCAGTTAGTAGAATATTGGACCAGATCTTGAGAACATCCCTATTTTGTCAGAGTGTTCTCTGGGTGACAAAGGGCCAGTCATTGTCTCTCAGCCTAACCTGCTTCACAAGATTGTTCTGAGAAGAAGGGATGAATGAATTTTATGTCTTGGGCCCCTTGTAGCAAATAAAACTAATAAATAAATATCAATCATTCAGTGTTTAGAAAACAGTGGGATTACACTGTTTTAATCTTGACATTTTGGAGAACATAGTTTGGTACCTCAAAAGGCATTTATGAATATGGTACACCAACACCCGCTAGATATCAAGTGCTACAGACATATTTTGGGGCAATCTTAAGAAATGGGGGAGAGATAAAAGCTTATAAGTGTTAGAAATAAGTTTTATATATGTTCATGTTCTGTTTACAAGGTTGTAGCTTTTCCCTATAAAAAACACAGTCACTTTTATGACTCCATACAGCCACTGATACCATTTGACATACCATTTTACTACTGAGACACAGGTTCTAGGCAATATTGGGGATGGTAATATTCATAAAGAAACAATGTTTTCTAATCAAGAACATTATGTCAACCTCAGATCTTTTCCAGAAAGAAAAGTCAATGAGGTATAAATGTGTGCTTGCTTCCGAGAGCCATTGTTGAGTAATGGTTTCAATGTAAGACTAGAACTCTAGGGTTTAAATCCCTACTTAGCCATGGAAACCCACAGGATGATCCTGTACAAGTCATATTCTCTCAGCCTCAGAAGGCAATGGCAAAGCCTCCTCAAACATAATATACCAAGGAAGCCTTGTTATAGGCTTGCTTTAGGGTGGTGATTTGTCAGAAATAAATTCAGGGTACTTGTTTGCATACTATCTTTTCAACATCTCATTACTTTTAGAGCAATGACTTGTTGCCTGGGAAAACATATAGTTTTGCAAAAGTGCATTCTTTTTCATGGTGTTGAGAGATAATAATGGTGCTACCTGTATCATAGAAATGATAGACCTCACATAACTATTTTTATGCATATACGGACAGTCAACAAGTTACAAACAAGATAGGGGTCTGTAGGTTTGTTTGTAAGTCAGAACAGATTGAACAAAAAGCACACTCTCTGACAATTGATCAAAAAAGGTGCACATTATAGTTTCTGTGTGATTAGAATTCTTAAAAAAAAACCCACCAAAGCTTCCAAGCAATGGAAAGGAAAACCATAAAAATAGATAACCCTTCTTTTAAGGAGCCTCTCCTGTTTATCCTGCTCCAACTTCCTTGGAGTGTGCTTACATTGTGGAATGAATGTACTATGACACCACTTTAACTGCCTTGGTTCATTGCAATGGGATTCTGGGAGCTGTAGTTTTACAAGTTATTTAGCCTTTTCTGCCAAAAAGGCTGCTGCCTCACCAAACTACAAATACCAGAATTGCATAGCACTGAGCCTCGGCAATTAAAAGTGGTGTCAGACGTGAAGGAAATGAGAGGTGGAGGGAAGACAAAGGGGATATTGATAGGAATAAAAAGAAAAAGGGGTGGAGAGATCAATAGGAAGAAAGGGAAAAAGGAGGTTGGAGAGATCAATTGGAGGAAAAGGAAGAAGGCGTTTGGAGAGATCTGTAGGAAGAAAAGGGGGTTGGAGATATTCTCAGGAAGAAAGGAGAAAGAGATTTGGAGAGATCGATAGGAAGAACAGGGAAAAGGGGTTTGGAGGGATCAATAGGAAGAAAAGGGAAATAGAGTTTGGAGAGATTGGTGGGAAGAAAAGAGATTTCGAGAGATCCATAGGAAGAGAGGAGAAACAGGGTTTGGAGAGATCAATAGGAAGAAAAGGAGAAAGGTGTTTGGAAAGTATCAACAGGAAGAAAAAGGAAGGGTGGGTGGAGAGATACAGACACGCTTTGCCTTAATGCTAAGATTTCATGGTATAGTGGGAGGGGAAGGGCCAGTTCGTAACTATGAGTTGTTTGTAAGTCAGATGTTCATAAGTCGGGGACTGGCTGTATATGTGTATGTATGTACATATGTTCTTCTTGGCTTCTATTGGCTGCCCAAGGCCATCATATCCTCTTCACTTGGTAATTTCTCTGATATTTGGTGCAGAAGTATAACATAAAACAATGTCAAATGGTGATGTATATGACAAAAAATTGCTTCAATATATATATTTTGCTCACATATACATTTGTTATGCAATTTCAGTATTTGTTTAAAAGTAATATAAAATCATCATTCTATGTTGTCTTGTTATAGTAATGATAAAAATAATTGTGAAATGATAACTGTCAGTATCCCCATACAACTGATTCTAAAAGTAGTTCCTTTGTCTGAAAGAACAATATGTGAGCATTCTTATGTATAAGTAGGATGTATTTATTAAATGTATACCCTGACTTTTTGAAATGGCTAACTAGAGTAATATTCAAATAAACAATACTTTTTTTAAAAAAAAGCAAGTAAAACATTAAAAACAAAACAAAATGCAATGTAAGACATCAGTAAATAGCACTTGGAGACTGAACTGGAAAAGCAGGGATTAAATCAAGCCAAGATGAGGAAAGATGCTCAAGTTTTTCTCAGGTGTGTTTTCTACTACAATCTGTCATGTAGAAATGTTTGTAAAGGGATAAACATGAATGCAACACGTGCTAACTAGAACAATAGCTAGGCTATGCAGTC